TACTTTAGAAATTAGTCAACAACGATCTTAAAATAAAATTTGATAATCAAATATTTGAAATTAATAACTTAATAAGCTGATTCATGTCAATTTCTTAGACTCATTTTACATGTATTGGAGAGTGTGTAATATAGTTTTCTACGTTATAGTTTAATGAACTTATCTGAAAAAATAATTAGTAGTTAATTATATTTTCAAGTGTTTTTAAGTTAATAACTTTTATTATGTCTTTATTGAATGTAAGCAATTGTACAACAGTATATTTAATAAAAAAGAGGTAGTTTAATATTGCATAATGATATGATAATAAGTAATAAAATTGTAGTGTTCTTTTATTATTTTTATCTGTAAGCAGGTTAATTATAAATTTAATATGATTAAGTAGAATAAGATTTCCTTTTTTTCTACTTGAAAAATATTTACGCCACTTGTGGTTATGATGGAAATTTAAAAAAAAATAATTTATAAGGTTTTCGAAAAAAAATTAGCCATATAATTTACATATAGTGGTAGTTCACTTAATACTAATCATCGAATTAGAAGCTAAATATTAACATAGGCTTATGCAATTAGTAAAAAATGACAGTTGCGATGAAATGCATGATTTGGGTGGAGATGGGACGTGGGGCGCACATGGGGAGGTACAAAGTAAGGTAGCCGAAACTACTGTGAGAAGTGTGTACTGTGTAGTGACAGACAATGACATAAGCAAAGGACAAATTAGTCAAGATACCTAAAAATTTATTCCTCTTTAGCCTATCATAATATTCCACTTTATTTGAAATGACCAAATTATCTTTGAAATCCCAAGCAGACATGTCATCCTAACTCCCTCTTATTAGACAGTAGAATTTGAACTTCTATTTTTGGTAATTAAACTTAATTTGTAACAAAATTAAACAACAAAAAACAACGTAAGTCCCCTTGTTGCCTTTGGTGCGGTATTATAGAATGGAGTCTTTCATATTTGCCTAAGTTTATATGCGTATCACTATTTCATATCTACATAACTATCTCTAGTTATATACATTGTATAATAATGATGTAATGTGTATTCAAGATTGAATTTAAAGAAATATAAATGAAATATTACATGTTATATAAACTGTATAATAATTGTAATGTGTATATAAGTGTGAATCAAAGTATGTAAATTAAAATACATGCTATTTAAGTTAAAATAAAAAATCCTACGATGTAAGAATATACAGTATATATGCTAGAAAAACGTATAGTATATAATATGAGAGGGGAAAGAATCCTTCATAACGGGGAATATAGAAAAGAGGGGGGAATATCTTTGGCTCACATGAGCAAGGGAGAGACTATCAATATCTATATTATTATAAAAGCACCATTATTAGAATATTAAATATTAATCGACAAAAATATTCCCGAAATATTGACCGACCTTTAATTTATGCCCTTACAAAATTAAACCATTCGTTCAAAGAACTAACATGATTTGGATAGAACATGTAATATTAAAATTTTAAAATCAACTAAGGTTTTATCTCTATGGATACTTTTTCGCTATGGGACTCTAAATTTGAATAGGAGTGGTGTTTTGGTTATACATTCTCAATTTGAAGAGAAATACATTACGTTATCTATAATATAACTTTTTGTGCCTATTGTTAACTATGGTGCCGCTGCCGGAGAATAAACCTCTTATAATAAATATTTCTAGTATTTCTTTTCTACTATCTAACTTTTACATATGCTGTCTTATAGTTAGTGTGATTAGTATTCTTGTAAGAAATTTCAAAAGTTTGACTGTTAATTAATTAACAAGATAATTTTAATCTCTTTTCATTTATTTTCTTCACTTCTACTGTGTTTAATAATTTCATCTGATAAGTACTATTTGCTAATACATGTTGATGTATTGTTAGATTTATACATGATCAATGATTTTCATTGGTATAGATATGTAATTATATTTTGTGTATCGATGTTATACTATGTGTAAATAGAGATTAAGAATTTGTCGTAAGTTTCTTAGATTTTTCTTGTGTGTTTCTTCAATATGTTTCATTAATATATTTTTGGTTGGAAACCCGATTTTTGTGTTCCCTGTAAGTTTTTATTCCTCTTTAATAACAATAAGATCTAGAAGAGAAACAATTTTTTTTCCCACCATAATCTTCTGTTTAAACCAGAATTTTAGGGAAACATTAGATGGTCATATTACCGTACTCCTAATCTAAAGTATCTCTAGCCCAACATCTCAATTGTTTTCCTTTAGCATATTATACAGGCATTTCTATTGTTTTGTTAACTATCTATATCAATATCTATATCTATTAATATTATTATAAAAGCATAAATGTTTCACATTAAATATTAAACAACTAAAATATCTCCGAAATATTGATTGAATTGTATACTCTTTTGTCTTATTCTACCATGTTTCTATTGTTTTTTGGTTAAGTTAAAAAATATCATATTTAAAAATAGAGTTTTAAACAAATACTATTTCTGGATTTCGATTCCCGGTCTAATTAAACAAGTACTCCAATCATGAAAGTAGAATTTTAAACCTTTGTGGTGAATTATGTCTATGTTTGCTGATAATTCCACCATTGGCTACAATTGTAATATAAACTCAAGTTAATTCCTAGAAGATTCATATCCATAGTAGTTGAATTAGAGTTACTTTAGAGTTAGATAAAGTACGCACCTAAATAGGACATAAGTCACACAATACCTTACACCGAATAACATAAAAGACTTAAACTATCCAACAATTGAAAGCTTATCTACATGGAATTATATTATTATTATTGTTATTATTGTCGTTATTATTATTATTATTATTATTATTATTATTATTATTATTATTATTATTATACAAATTTTCAAGGCAAAATATAGATTATTGACTGAAGTCAACGTGCAATTATTAAACATATTGAATATTTACGTGCAACGCACGTTCATAGAGACTAGTATTATTATAAAAGTGGGAAGCTCTTAACCAAAAAATTGAATTACCTAAATGCCCTTCTAAATAATTTTATTATTTTATTTATACCAAATTATTTGGAGGGATGCGATCTTTCACATGAGTCAACAATGCTTAAAATAGTTTCTACCGGTTCTTATTTAATTTTGTTTTTCAACCGTTGGTATCTTTTGGAATAGAGAAGCAATTGGCTTACGATTCAAATCAAAACAAAGCCTTTGATACATAAAACCACACACACACATATATTATTCCAAAGGAATAGAAGACGAAGAGTGATTCTAACTTCTTTATAATAAGCAGAGTGACTTAAAAGAACGCACTCCGAGTACTTAGTCTCATCAACATTTGTATAAAATTCATTAATTCATTATTGAAAGGTATCCTTCTCTTACTATGTGCCTTTTTGTTACTAAATTGCGCTCATACCTTTCTTTTGACCTTTTTATTTAACGTTTAGTCGAGTCTACAAATTCTAATTCACAAATGGTGCTAAAGTTCTGCACATATATTGAGATGATTTAAAGTATTTAACTTACGAAAAGAAAACTTATATTTTTTCTGTTAGGTGATCATTGTTTTAAGAAGTGGAGAAAGAAAAAGATTATTGTATCTGCCTATTGTTTTCTGCTTTCCTATTGGCTTTTTACTTAGACAATGCTTTCTTACCGGCTTTAGACAAGACGACGCAATGTTTGCATTTTATAGTATAAGTCATTTATTTTTAAATTCAAATAAAAAATTATTTTGCGCATAGATCGTTCATCTCTAAATTTAAGCAGCAATTATGTTCCATTAACAGACAAATTTTGAAACTAAATAACAAGTAGTAAATTTCAATTATTATACTTTTGTGAATTTAAAATTAGACTTAGAGTATTAAATATACAAAAGAGGCGGTCTCTTTCTTTTTTCTTTAAGAAAATAACCAAAAAAAATTGTGCCGCTCGAAATAAACTCATATTATCTGTATTTAAAAGTTATTTTCATATTCAAGTTCCCTATATATCAAATAGCCTATTAAATTGTGTTTTAGTGATAAATATTGAAAAATTAAATTAATACTTGTAATTAAGTTAAAAGAAAAAAGATCCTGCAAAAATAACATCACAATAAGATATCTTAAATTAATTACTACTAAATAAGATAATTCAAATTAAATATTTGTTAAGTAACCTTACAAAATCTCTTTATGAAATATTAAATTACCAACTTAAGTGGTTTAGTGACATACATTTATTTTTATGAAGACAAGATTAATGAATTTATGTTTTGTTAGTTTAGCCACTAGGCTACATTTACATATTATGTTGTTTGGTTTAAGCTAATCGTCTGCTTGCAAAGTTAATTATTTGTTTGGGACGAACTTTCAAAGTCAATATATGATGATTTACATGGACCATCGTAAAAATTTGTACCTTATTTTATGTATAATTATTTCTTCGGAATTTTATTTTAATAATATTAATATTATGTTATAAATTAGATATTATATAATTCGGCATACACGTGCAACACACGTACAGAGAAACTAGTACACTATTAAAAGCACGAAGGCTACTCTCTCAAACCGCTCTCTCGGCGCACATTAGAGTGCACTTGCTAATATACGCCATCAGCTATGGGGAGGGGACAACCAAAGAGAATTGCTACTGCGATTCCGATGACTGACTATACAGGCACGAGCACTCCAATTCTAAGGAATGACAATTTGGAAAGAGATCGAGGGAAAAGTCTAATAGAACAGTGGCTGCCGTTATCAACCATGAAAGAAACTGTGAAAACTCCATTAGATAAGACCAATCATAGTAGTAAAGTGATTACTGATGCTCCGATGATACATGCAAGCCCAAATATAAGCAAATCTGTGACAACTGGTAAGAATATGAATCTAATTACTATTGAACTGGGGGTAAAAGGGGATGCAATGAAGGCAACTCAACCTCAAGTGATTCTACCTACTGTTGAGGCTGATATAGGGTAGAAGCAGTGGGCGAACCTATTTGTGGGATAGAATTATGCGGCGAAATGTATGGATCTGAGCTTTATTGCACCTACTATCAAAAATGGCGACGTAAATGTGGAGCTCTGTAAGGAAGAGAACGAGGAGGAGACTCAGAAACGGAAGTTTGCGTTAATACTGTATGTTGTTGGAGGAAGTCCAACAGTAGACACCATGGAAAGTTACATTGCTTCAGTATGGAACTTTGTAGCTAAGCCTAAGGTGTATTTCTATAATGATGGTTATTTTATGGTTCGTTTCAATTCTATTGAAGATATGGATGAAGTTTTGTATTCAGGACCTCACATGTTGAATAATAAGCCTATCATTGTCAAAATATGGTCGGCTGATTTTGATTTCAATAAAGAGGTTCTTCAAACTATACCAGTGTGGGTGAAATATACTAATTTGCCTTTGAATTGCTGGGAAAATAGGTCGCTAAGTAGGATAAGCAGTGGTTTGGGAATTCATCTCTATGCTGATGCTTGTAGTACTCAAGTGGATAGGATTTCATATGTAGGGGTATTGGTTGAAATGGATGTTACTAAAGAGCTACCTAGGTTTATCAAAGTGACTGATCCTAATGGAAGGGAGTTTATACATGAAATAACATATGATTGAGTTCCTGAGTTCTGTACTAAATGCATGCAAGTTGGTCACCAATGTAGAGTTGCTGAACAGATTGGACCAAAAGTTGAAGACTAAGAATGCAAAACAGAAGCAGGAATGATAACCTAAGCTGGTATGCAAAGTACATGAACCAGCTGTTAAGGAGCAATTGCAGTTGAGAGAGACTACTAATGAAGGGAATGCTAGTACCAGTACATTAATGGCTAGTACTAGTACATGAGCTAAAACAGAAAATGAGGAGCAAAGGTGGCAAACTGTTATAGGAAAGTCACCAGCTAGAAGCGGAGAAAGACAACCAGCTGATGTAGTTAATGTAATCAATGGATTTAATCTACTTGCATAATCTAAAATGCAGCTAGCCATGCCAAGACATAGAGGGAGGAACAAGTAGACAACAGGGTGATACTGGGCAGGAAGGAACTCTTCAACCCCTTTTTATACCTGTATGAAGTTAGTAACCTGGAACATAAGGGGCTTAAATAAAGCCCATAAATAAAAAGAGGTAAAGTGGTTCATTTGTAGTAATAAAGTACATATGATAGCATTACTAGAACGTAAAATAAAAAAGCAGAAGGCTAAATAAGTTATAAGGAAAATTACACCTGGATGGGCATACTTAGACAACTATGAATATAGTAGCAAAGGAAGAATATGGTTGCTATGGGACACAACTGAAATAGAGTGCAAAGAGGTGAGTACAACTACTCAGACTATCCACACTACAATATATATTAGGAGATTGGATATGAGATTTACTTTTACAGTTGTGTATGGCCTGTATAGTGTTGAAGACAGAAGAAGTATGTGGAGTGAACTGATAAGGTTGCACTCAATATAACAAGGGCCATAGTTGATAAAGGGGGATTACAATACTATTAGATCAGTTGAAGATAGATCAGTTGGTAATCTTGTGCAAGAACTGGAGATAAGAGATTTCAATGAATTTATTGAAAGTACTAGATTGACAGAAATGAAGACTAGTGGAAGAAATTTTACATGGACAAATGGACACATTTATAGTAAGATTGATAGAGCCCTGATTAATGCTGATTGGATGCTGATAATGCCACAATTGGAGGTCTGGATTATGGACCCTCACTATTCTGATCATTCACCATTAAGTATAGCACGTGAGGAGAATTAAGACTATAGTTCCAAACCTTTTAAATTTCTAAACCACCTAGCTAAGCATGATGACTTTATGAAGATAGTTAATGAATTATGGGAGAGACCACATGAACAACACACTATGAGGAGTATTTGGCAGAAACTAAAAAGAGTAAAACATGCTATGAAGGTCTTAAGAAGAATGAATATAATGTTGTTGGTGATAGGATCAAGGTGTGTAGACAAAGACTAACTGATATTCAAGAGCAAATGAGGGATCCTGCGCAAGATGAGACCTTAGTAGCTGAAGAAAAAGTAATGAAAATACAACTGGAGAAATAGTTAGGGGTGGAGGAAAGCATTATGAGATAGAAATCAAAAGTAAAATGGCTAAAGTTAGGTAATGCCAACACAACATATTTTTTTGCAAGTATGAAAAGCAGATGCAACCAAAACAAGATTAGAAGACTAATAAAGTGTAATGGGAGTACAATGCAAACAAAGAAGCACATTGAGGAGGATGTGACAGGATTCTATCAACAACTATTAGGCTCATCAACTAGTGAATTGTCTGCTATTAACCCAGCTATCATGAGAGATGGTCCCATGGTGAATAGACTGCAACAATTACAACTGATTGCAGAGGTCTCAAAGGAGGAGATTTATCAGGCTTTGAAAGGTATCAGTGACAACAAAGCCCCTGGGTATGATGGATTCAATACTTTATTTTTCAATAAGGTTTGGCTTATAGTAGGAGATACAATCACAACTGCTATTATGGAGTTCTTTTCAAGTTCAAATGTGTATCAGCCTATCAAATGTACAACAGTAACTCTTGTTCCTAAGGTGAAAAGTCCTTCTAAAATTACTAAGTACAAGCTAATATCATGTTGCACAATACTTTACAAGATTATATCAAAGATACTAACTAACAGATTACAAGGAGTGACAGATGAACTGGTGGATAAAAGTCAGTCTGCTTTTGTTCCTGGTAGACTGATAAATGACAACATAATACTTAGTCATTAGTTAGTTAAAGGATATGGTAGGAAAGGTATTTCTCCTAGATGTATGCTGAAAATAGACATGAAGGAGGCCTATGATTCAGTGGAATGGGGTTATCTAGAACAAGTGTTGACACATCTGCAACTACCAGGGGGATTTGTGAAATGGATTATAAGCTGTGTTACAACAGTCTCATACTCCATTACGATTAATGGGCAGCCTACAAAGCCATTTCAAGCTAAGAAAGGGTTGAAACAGGGAGATTCCTTATCTCCTTACCTATTTGTACTGGTTATGGAGTATTTTACAAGACTATTGAAGACACTTAAAAAGGATCCTAATTTCAACTATCATCCTAAATGTAGCAAACTGAACATAGTGCAATTGAGCTTTGCTGATGATCGATTACTATTCTGTAGAGGTTATGCCATATCTTTTTAGCTACTATTTCAGTGCTTTCAGCAATTCTCAAAGGCTTTAGGGCTAGTTGCAAATGCTGATAAAAGTTCCATATTCTTTGGTGAAGTGCATGATGACCAATAGAAGAAGATATTGCAATACGTAGGTTTTGTCAAAGGAACATTACCAGTTAGGTACTTGGGAGTACCTCTTACCTCTAAGAGGTTATCATTGATATATTGCCAGCCTTTGCTTGAAAAGATGCTAGGGAGAATCCAATCCTGGACATCAAAGTTTCTGTCCTATGCAGGAAGAATTCAGCTAATCAAGAGTGTGCTATTCTCTATCCAAGTATACTGGTTCAGGTATTTGTACTGACAAAGAAACTCATCCAACTTATTGAAAGAGTATGTAGAACATTCCTATGGACTGGGGGTGTAGAAGCGTCAAGGAAAGCTCTATTGTCATGGGAAAATTTATGCAAACCTAAAGCAGCAGGTGGTCTAAATCTACTGGCTATAAAGTAATGGAACAAGGCAGCCGTATGTAAACTCCTTTGGAACCTATGCAAGAAGAAATATATATTGTGGGTGCAATGGATACATGTGTATTATAAGAAGCAGAATGCGTTGTGGAGTATTGTACCAAAACAAGCCTCTTGAATAGTACAGAAGATACTTAAAGCCAAACATTACTTTGAGGAAGTTGGTTATACAGAGGAGGATGTAGAGGGGATAAACAGCTTCTCTATTAAGAATATATATTGGAAACTGAAGGGTGACTTTGATAGAGTACCATGGAGGAAACTGGTTCACAACAGTGTTGGAGTGCCAAAATGGAACTTTATAATTTTTCTAGCTGCACATAGAAGATTGATGACTAAAGACAGGCTGAGGGGTTTGGGCTATGTGGAAGATGTAACATGTTCTTTATGTAATAGTGAGGAGGAGACAATGGATCATTTATTTTTTAAATGTACTTATTCATCGAGAGTATGGACAACAATGTTGTAATGGCAAGGGATTTAGAGGCAACCAATGATGTGGGCAACTGAACTTGAATGGGCAGGAAAGTGCTATAAAGGTAGGAGCACAACAACTGAGTTGTATAAACTTGTACTGGCAGGAATCTTGTAATATATATGGCAAGAGAGGAATGGCATGATTTTCAAAGGAGTGCAACGATCAAAAGTAATTCTAAGCAGAACAATAACACAAGGTGTGCATGAGTGAGGAGAAAGTAAACACAGGCTATAAAGAAGACTACTGGAACTCAACTACTATCCTAGTATGTAAGGATTGTTTTATAGATAGCAGTTAGACTAAACTGTCTCTTGTAGTAGTAGTTAATGAGGCCAGGAATGGAGCTAAAATCTGGGGTGTCTGTCCAGATTAAGCTTGCTTGCAGTATGTAATATTTGTTGAGAAATGAAAATGTTAATTACAAAAAAAAGCACGAATGCCCTTAGCAAAATGTCATTCGCTTTTTTTAACCTTTTAAAATTTCATTCACACTACACAAAATAGTCGTTTTGATTCTTCTATGTCACGACCCAAAATCCGACCAGTCGTGATGACACCTAACCCAACTCACTAGGTAAGACAATTAACTATAATCCAATTTAATTAGATTTATCGAAGAAAATAAATGACAAAATAACTGAACCTTTATACTTTTCTCAAGGACTGGTAGTACAAATTATGAGTTTCTAAGATTTTGAATTTACAAAACTGACATGAAATAAAATACATCATTTGTTGAAATAAATGTGAACAGATTAAAATTTCAAAACTACCAAGGTCAAGAGGAAGTTGTAACTGGATCACAGATACATCTTCAATGCCAGTTCTCGCTATACACACAATATCAACATCCAAAATCTGCACGCAAGGTGCAGTAGTGTAGTATGAGTACTACCGACCCAATGTACCAGTAACTAGTACGTGTGTTGCCTAACCTCATCGAAGTAGTGACAAAGATTTTTAGTTAAAAGATACTCACTGTTATAACCTGTGCAGTAGACTAGTAATAGAAACAGTTATAGAGCATAACAGATAAAGGTACGATAAAACAACTATGCAAGGCAGTAAATAATTACTAGGAGAAATCATAGTAGTAAATTCATAAATTTCCTGGTGTGAGAAATATATTCAAGATATAACATCGACTGGCATAGTAACACCTTCGTGCATTTATCTCATTCAATTCATAACTTTTCTAGTGTAAGGAATATATTCAAGATATCAATCGAATGGCATGGTAATGCCTTCGTGCATTGATCTCATTCTCACCCAGTATATATTTATATATCAAATCAATTGGCACGACAACACCCTTCGTGCATTTATCTCTTTCTTACCGAGCATACATATAACAGTACCAACTAGGTGGAAGAAATTCCAATATAACAAACAAAAAGAAAATCATAATGTTTGCAAGTTAAACAGATATAAGATATGGATAACACATCAACAATTGGG